TGCTTCTGGCGTCTATACTTTATTATGTTGTAGAAGTTCTCTCTCTTAATTGAAACCTACATTTTGGTTTGACTATGAATAGGGTCTTCATGATTTGTCGTCTAAAGTATTACTATTATAAGTGAGCTTTAATGTCTGCCGATATCTTCTGTACTTGTTGAAATGATCATGTGCTGGTTGTTATTTATTCTGTAGTTAACATGTTGTTTCTTATTCTAGGTCTTAAGTTTTACTTGTGAAGCCTGCAAAAATGTTATATTTAATGTACCTTCCAAACTTGAGGCAGACAAAGTGATGGGCAGAGGTAAGAAAAAAAAATATATATGTATTAATTTTATCTAGGCTGGAAAAAGGCCGTGACAGTTTTGCTTTTTCGGAATCAACCTGAATCTACATAAGGCAATGCAGATCAAAATCGATTTAAAAATGTAATTCTGTTCTTTATAATTCCATTGCATTCTGAAGTTGATTCTAGTGGAAATATCATATAGTCCATATTTCTGTAGTCCTTTATGTTTTAACAGTTTAAAACTTACTAAAAGCATCTTATACAAAATACTTTTATTATTTTAATATTAAGCATTAGACAAAAATAGTTTAAGGGACTGAGAGGATCAGAGTAGTATTGACGTGATAGATGGTGCATTGGACAACAGAAGTTGAGCTGTCCCATCCAAACTGAACTAATTAGCCTGTTTTACACTGAAAATCTAGGGAACCTAAAAACATAGAATAGATGGAGAATCTGTGACTCAGTGAGCTTATCCTATGGAAACAGAGAAAACTAGAGAAAAGAGTAATTGTTGTTAATACTCTTTTTTGAGGATAGTTTATCTGAAAGATTCCAAATTTATATTTTCAACCAAGTGTTCCATTTCTGTTAAAGGGCTAATTTAATCTTATTATGCAAATACTTCTTTAGGGAGAAAGCAGAGAGATTGGTCAACAGTGTTCATATACAAGAATAGACTACAAATTAACATTCTAACAAAAATTGGAAAATATAGGAAATCATCTATAAAAAGGCACCTAAACAGCAAAAGGTTGACTTGGTTTTGGCTAAATGTTTCCCCCTGTGATAGACAAACATGAAAATGAAAACATTCTACATAAAGGATATATGCTTACTACTTAAATGGGTATACTCACTACTTATTTACTGACATGATTGGGTTCCAAAGATCATTATGTGAAAATGAGGATGACTGTATTAGATCACAAAATAGAAGATGACTATGTCACTGTGTGACTCAAAACTGCTAAATGAAATTGTCACATAACTGCCAAACCACTGAAGGTCAAGGTGACATGTAACCTTAAACCATCACAGCTGGCTTTACTACTCTTTCCTTGTAGTGAGACATTTCTACTACCAGATGTATGTCATTAAAGCATCACATAGTTAGAGGGTATCTTTTTTTACTGTTACCATGAATGCAAAATATTAGATAATGAGTTAGTAAGTGAGAGTAGGTGTATTAATGTTTCCATGTGTTTTCTGTTCATGCATATCAATTGGAAATTGTCATGGAAAATAGGTACATTTCAATACCTATCTATTATTATTTTCTACTAGAAGGCACAATTCTTGGAGCCAGAGACCAGATGACTAAGGGTCCTTTGGGGATCTTTTACCCCAGGGTAAAACGTAGACCCTTGGAATATAGCATACAGAAAAATACCAGTGAGTCTTTGAAGACAGATTTCTTCACTTGATTGTTTTGATTAACTCACACTCTCCATTCCTTTTTGGATTGATGAATATAATTGAAAAGATTCTGGTTGAGTGATGTTTTTGTTATGTGTCGTCAAATTGACTATGACTTATAGTGACCCTGTGAGCAATAGTTCTGAACCCTGCTCTACCCTGAGCCAGTCTCACCATCTCTGACACGCCTGCCCTCATTGTCACAGTCACTGTGTCAGTCCATCTCTCCATGGCTTTCCTCTCCTGCACTGACTCTCTATCCTTCCAAGCACAATGTCCTTTTCTCAGGACTGGCCCTCCTGGCAGCATGCCCAAATTAAGACAGATGAGGAAGAAGGATTGGCCACTCAATTCTGAAATGACAGACCTTGGAAAATTGTGTGAACAATAGGGCTGAATGATAGGTGCCTTTTAATAGAATCAGTGTTTATTGTTAAAGGAAACTTTCTGTTTATTCTGGTTGGGAGTGGTGTAAGAGCTTTTCTTTGTCATTTGAATAATACCTACACCTCCTTTAAAAAAAAATTCATAGCAGATGACACAACCCTGCTTGCTGAAACTGAGGAGGACCTCATGCACTTGCTGCAAAGGGTCAAGGACTGCAGCCTTCAGTATGGACTGAGGCTCAATGTCAAGAAGACAAAGATTCTCGCCACTGGACCAATTGGCAGCGTCAGGATGGATGACGAAGAGATTGAGAGTGTTTACAGCTTCAGTTTGCTCGGCTCCACAGTCAACACTCTTGGCACCAGCAGTCAGGAAATCAAAAAGCGTATCGCGATGGGAAAGTCTGCTGTTAGGAACCTCTCAAAGGTACTCAGGAGCAACAGTGTCTCTCTGGAGACTAAGATGCGCCTGATACAGGCCATGGTCTTTGCAATCGCTTGCTATGCATCAGAGAGTTGGACAATGACTAGGGAGGACAGAAGGAGAGTGGATGCTTTTGAGCTGTGGTGCTGGAGAAGGGTACTGAATGTACCATGGACTGCCAGGAAAACAAACAGATTCATCTTGGAGAGGATTAAACCAAGCTACTCCTTGGAGGCAAGGATTCTGGGGCTTCGTCTGACATACTTTGGGCATGTTGCCAGGAGGGACGGGTCCTTGGAGAGGGACATCATGCTTGGGAGGGTGGAGGGACAGAGCAGGAGGGGAAGACCCTCTATGAGATGGATCGATTCAGTGACTGGGGTAATCGGGATGGGTGTGTCAGAGGCAGTGCGGTTGGCGCAGGATAGAGCAGGGTTTAGGGCTGTTGTGCATAGGGTCGCTATGAGTCGGAAACGACTCCACGGCACATAACAACAACAACAACAACAATTGGAAATATCTAAAAGTTTAGAACATCTTATTTAAAAATAGTATAAAATAAAGAATTACTATTTTTAACCAGAAGATTTGTTTTATATATTGGCACAGGATAGAGCAGGGTTTAGGGCTGTTGTACATAGGATCTCTATGAGTCGCAAGCAACTCGATGGCACATAACAACAACAACAACAGGTTAGATATTTGGCAAATGCAAATTAAGCTTATTACATTGCACTTTATGCTTTTAAGGAAGATTGTGTAAATTAGTATAACAGATTGTGTGTGCGTGCCTTACAACTCTGTAATTTTCACTTGCAGTTAATTTGATGGAGTGTCTCAAGTCTGCAGATGTCATCCAGTCAAGCGACCCTGATTTCAGAGTTTTGGGTGATGGGTCAGTATTTACCGCCAGAGCTGTTGTGTTTTCTGATGAGAAAAGATCTTTCACCATATTACTTTCTGACACCAAGAAACAGACACAGAAAGATATTATCGTGCTCCTGGAACATCAGAAGAAGGTATTCAAAGTACAATCATGTTTTTATATTTTCAAGCAGGGTTTCTTTCTACTTAATCTTTTATTAACAATTGCAAAGGGAAGGGGGCGAAGATAAACAGGATCGTTTTCCCCTCTTTATCCTCTACCCCTTTCTTTCTTTTTCTTGCTTTATTTAATCACTAATTAGACACTAGTTTTAGACTTGATTGTGTTACATATAAATGAGGTCCCTTTTGTGAAGACTTCGCTCACCAGCCGGACTCATGACTTTTTGTTCCAGTTACACTTTGCTTACCCTTTTTTTCCACAGCATTTACATTTTTCTTCTTGGTGCAAGCCATTCAACTCTAGTTGCCTGATGGCATAGATTGATCTTGTGTTTATATAGCCATAGATGTGTAGCTCAGGCCTGACCCCTAGTCAGTAACTGTGTGTTGATTTAAAGATAAGAGTAATAGTCATGGGATTGTATAATTTGATGGGGAGGAGGGTTGAGGGAAACTGAAAGACTGATTCTGAAAACAGTGTATTTGAGTTTTGTAAATAAACTAGTGTAAAATTAAACAAACAAAAAAAGAAAGTAATAGTCTCCAGAGAATAGAAAGCTGATTAAAGTGCTACATTGGTTATGCTGTTAAAATAGGCTGTGAATACTGGGAAACACATTAATAAGAGTATGAATAATATTGGACTCACTATCAATCAGAGGGTTATCGACTAACTTACAGATTCCCCATCCAAAGGAGCTTGAAAGTTATAAAAAAATGATAACACCTTTAGACTTGGCAGAAAGTTCAATATAACTCTTTGCAAGGGTGATTATTTGTATAAGATGTGACTAATGCAGCTGAAATAGAACTTTTTAAATTATATTTAGTAATAACAAATTTAAATTTAAATGTCTGAGTATGGCTAGTGTCTACCATATTGGGTTGTGCAAATAGAGCAGTTAGCCAATGAAGGACATATACTTTTTCTACTGGTTTGTTTGGGATTGTTATGCTTTAGCAGAAAAAAGAAAGATGCTGGAAGCAGAAACATGAAATGTGGTATGTGTACATGGTTATACAAACTATTCATTTTCTGTCTCTACTGAAGCCAAAGTAAGAAAATCCAAGACTATTATCAATAATTCTCTTAACTGATAATGTGGCAAGTGTTAGAAAGGTGTAAAAAAGGGAATTCCATAATTTCTGAAACCCTTAAAATTGTAATACATTCTCGGAGTGGTAAGGGTATGGTCTTTCCACTGTTAGACAGTAAAGTAGATGGTGATGCTTTAGTTTGATGATTTATTTTCTAATTTCTCTAGGTACTGAGGAAGAGGCACATTAAAGAGACTGTCCTCAGGAGATCCAAAAGGCGATGGGCCCCTATTCCTTGTTCCATGCAGGAGAATTCCTTGGGCCCGTTCCCATTGTTTCTTCAGCAAGTAAGTTTTATATTTCTTCTGATTGGGAGTAACTTTTTTTGTTTGTTTGTTTTTGAAAGGTTTAATATGCATTAATTTTGCTAGACTTATAATGAAACTTTTT